AGCATTTTCATTTGTCAAACTGAATTTGGTTGTAATAACTCATAGGTATTTATCTTGGTATGCATGACGTTCTCAATAAGGTCAAATGCATGTCAGTTAATTTTCTATTTTCGGCCTTGTAAAGTGATCAATACCAAAGTGTGGCAAGGCTACTGGTCAGATATTAAGAGATTATTACATAGCACACTTATTATTAAGATTTCCACTGAGGTTAAAGACGTGACAGCTGAGGCACAGAGGTCTTTCATTACTCGAGGTCTGGATTATTTATATTATATAAGTAATATAACAAAAGTGACAAATTCCTAGTCGAATTATTTTAATATATAATGTATTGATTCCACAAAATCCAAGAAATATAAATGCATTGAAAGTGATTTTGAGTTTCCTAGAGGATGAGAAGAGCAGTATTTGAATGCGCGTAAGAAATGAAGATTTATTTAAAGTCAATAATTGTTCAGTTTAATGAAGATTGTATTGTGGTTTGAGAGTTGCAAGCAACCTTGCATCTTGTTGGCACAACTCCCTCGAATACAGTGTTCTTCTTCAGATGTTTAAATGTCCCAGCTATCCTATAATCTACTGAAGTGCTGTACTATTACATTCATGACACAAGAATACTGTACATCAACAACACCACTACTACAGTACTTCAACGTTTCCTATTAATGTATATTACTGCCATATTATCATGAATGCGTACTTCCGTGTTTAAGTTTATGTAGATATAAATCTGATAATCGCAGTGCAGTAGGCCTTGAAAAATAAGTCTAATGGATGGATTGATTACTTGAAAAATACGCTTTTCATTTGCAGACAGGTAACGTACCAGTACTGTACAATTCCATGATTCTAGACATAAACCAGAGCAATCTTATTTGTAGATATAATCAATTATTAATATAGATATTGTATGACTAGATATGAAAGATTAGATTATAAATAAATCTATGTGAAACTGTACACTGAACGTCATAGCACTTCCACAGCAATTTCTGTACATATCTTGGAATAATACTGTATTATTTCAACTACTGGTAGATTAATTAATGACATTAATCTGTTATTATTTAATTTTTGATAGGGTAGTACTAAATTTATCTTTAACTCTCACAGGTCCTCCACAACCTGGTGCTTCAAATGCTTTTTGAGAAAGTTAGCCAATATAACCTAATATCCAATGAGTTTCATAGTTTTATGTGGAAGCCCTGATTATCTATGATAAAATTTAGTAGTACAGTACTTGAATTTATCCAATTTGCATAATATATTATAGCTTTAATACACAAAGCTACTTATCTTACAGTTGATGTTGGTAAAATTGATGATAGTACAGTTTAATTTGCTGTAATCATTGGGCATTGTTTGTGATTTTACAAATGTAATTTAGAAGCTTGCATTGTTATTCAATAGTCATATGTCCGTGTCTTAATGGATTTCTTTTCTGTTTGAATGGTGATAAAACATTGACAATTGTCTGACGTCAGAGAAATATTACTTTACAAAAATTACAGAACAAAACGATTTAGAATTGAAAACACATTGATTATATCTGCATGTATTTGCTATAGTAATATATTCAGTACTGTGTAGCAATACATTATTGCTTAAAAATTAGATTATCCCTAACTGATATTTTGAGCTGGTCCCTGGATCAGCAGTCTGTATGCAGTGAGTCAACTAGTATTGATCTATGCATTATTGCATGCACGAGTTTGTCATGTCTGGGTTAAGATGCTATCTCTACACCATACACTGTGTGAAAGCGCCTTCTCAAGGGAATTGCTAATGAATAAACTGGCAATCTTATTGGCCGGTGCCTTATATAGGCATGGTTTCCAGTATTGATTGTTTCATTTCTTATCATTTTGCATATTTTGTAAGTTTGCATACATTCTGTGTTAATTACTATCTCAGAAGTTTCCATGAAGCCAAATAAGTTATTGATTCTTCTTCAACCTTTTAAACTAATGAATAATATGTATTATGCCCCGGTACCTAATATCATGGTGCAATACTTGGTATATCCACTGTGACTACACAGGTATCTAGCACTATTGTACCATGCTTGGTACGTCCACTGACTACCCGTTTACCTACTGAGGTTGGCAGTACATAGTTTTATTCATTCTTCTTAAAACATTTATTCAACCAATAGATAATAAAAGTAAGTACAACATAAGTAAATGAGATAATGAATAAAGAAAAGCATACATAAACGATATAGATATATAAATCATGAATAAATTAACAACTAATTAACAATTTTCCATTTGATAATTCAATATATACTGTACAACAGTCTCTATTGGCTTGGAACAGGTCTAAATGTTGAATCAAACTAGTCTCAACCTGACCCAGAAACAGATACCAGTACATTACAAATATAATCTATAAAATATATGGTTGAATTAAAATGATTGATGCCAAGTGCATACATCACTCAAATGGGTAAAACCAGAAACAAATCTAGCACAAAAAAAACCTGAACATTTAGTCATGATAATACTATAAATAATATTTTATGATTTAAAAAAAGTGTAATATTATCACGATTTATTAAATTTTTATCAAGCACATTCCACTGTCTAGGACCAGAAATGGTGATATAAAAATGAGTTTTTCTTAAATCTCATAAATAAACATACGTTCGAAGTGAAATGCCTTAAATTATATTTGAAAATTATATTTGAAAAAACTTGGGAGCATAATATTGCTTTAGTGGTATTCTTATAAATCTTTTGATTATGTAAACTGTAATATGAAGAAACCAAGTATAGATCTAGGTGTTTATAAAATTTAAAAAAAAAAGATTATGAAAGAAATAGTAAATTGTTATGATTTCTATGGAATTTGACAGTTTTATTGTTTACATTTGTATCAAAATTGAAATATAGTACAGATCCAATATAAACTGAAAGAATATTAGCATGAGCTCAGCTACACGGTCTAATTTAACATGCTTCAAAATGAAAAGGTAATTTATCATGTTATGGACAATTTTAATTAGTTACCAAGCAGCATACTGATAGTACAATTAATGAATAATTAGAAAGTCTAATATTAAAACTAATCAATTAATTAATTAATAACTTGAATTGTTTAATTAAGGAAGTCGTTTGCTAAAAATATTTTTATTTCCTTTTCAAGTATAATTTACTTGGCTAATTGGAGTGCTTCAAGTTATTTCCTCCTCATAGCTTTAACTGTGCCATCACATATCCTTGAGTGTAGGGTCTTAACTAATAATCACCATCAAAGCTTCTCTTTGTCTTAAAGGCCTTTGGCACCAGCTGGATTGAAATTATTTTAATATATTTTTGCGATGTGAGTTTGTGGAAGGAAAATATCATACCTGAAGGGGAGATGTTTTGCCCTACCTGACATGTTATCAGACCGAATACTCAGTACAGTACGTTCCCAAAAAGTTTTGCAAGTATTTGGGAACGTACCGAGTATTCGGTACGATAACACGTCAGGTCGGGCAAAACATCTTCGCAAGTATTTGGGAACGTAATGAGTATTTGGTATGATAACACATCAGTTAGTGCAAAAGTCTCTCCTATGATATATTTTTGGCTACAAATAGTAATACTACTTCTTAATGATGTATTTAGAAAATCAGATGCTTATTTTTAAATCAAAATTTACTGATTAGAATTAATTGACTGAAAAGTTACTATGAAAGTCAGTACTGATGATGGAGCCATGTATATCCTTAGACCTTACCAACAAAGGTCTTATTTGTGTCTGTTTAAATTTTAACGTATTTGGAATAGTGCTTGTTATCTGTTGTCAATGAGTCATCGGGGGCCCTGGTCAAACGATTGCACTGTTTACATTACCCACTATCTTAACGATTAATGTTTCTGATATTGTAAAGTTAGCCACGAGGTAGTTTTACAAGATGTGCATGTCACAGAAAATTCATGTACAGTAAATGGTGTGGTAACTACCATTATTCTGATAGGACCTTGAAGCATTAAACGGAGTTGATGGGACTTTTTTTTTATCTATAGTCCCATTCTAGTTAGACTTTCTTAAACTGATTACAAAAAATATACTATTGTTATGTATTATTTTTTTGATTATTGAACAATTATTGAAGTAGGCCCTAATAGTCAATGTTTAATGCAATAAAATTATGATTATATTCATTCAAGTATTGTTGATGTAGCTATAAAATGCTAATTTTCTTTGCCGTTGCTTTGGAAAATTAATATAAATCATTATAAATATAATTTTTATATTGACATTTTCTAAGTATTTTATTATTTTCTCATTAAATTTTATGTGAATTAATGGCTGGTAGTAATTTACATGCTGATTTTAGTACATCTAAGAATAAGGGTACCCTTTTATGTGTTCATAACATGTTATTGTTTGTCATATGTCAAAAAGGTAAATACAAAACATGAATGAAGACATGAAATACTGTACACTCAAGTGGTAGTTTTTTAAGCAAATTAATTTCACATTTTGAAAGAATGAATGTGAATTACGATTTGTAAATAAGCATAAGTTTAGCACATCTGTTTTTTAAAGCACAATATTGTAACAAAATAAATTTGGATATTTGATGCATCACAGCCAATCAGCAGTGTGAATCTCAGAATATTGACACTTTTAAACAGAATATGCGAGGCAGTTTATGTTGACTTCATAAGTATCGATTTAAGAGAACCAGTTTCAGTGCAGGTTGAGGATGCAACTTCCAACTTATTTGACCTAGTTTGAGGATACAAGAGAATTATAGATCTTTGGCAAAATCTAGGCCAATAAATACTGCTGAACTAATAACTGGCCTATCAAGCTAGTCCCTAACAGAAAAGATAATGTTTAGGAGTCTTTGAAATGGAATATTTTATCTCGTCTCATGTTATCAGTCATTTGCTTGTATAGTAATGCTAATATTTTATTGCAAAAATACTTTTTAAACTATGATATTCAATATAAAAAAAAAAGTTAATGTATATATTTAATTTATTTTGTTTTTGCAGAATTGCTTGGAAATGGAAAGATACTTGAAATCGGAGCCATGTAGGTCACCGAAGGTCAAAGAACCCGAAAATCCATGGAATAGATTCTTAATGAGATGCACAGATATCGACCAATCAGCAAGTAGCTCAGATTCTGAAATAAATGACAGCAAGTTTGATACAATTAGCCTTAGTTCTAGTTCCAGTAGTATTTCATGGGATAGTTCAGGTGAACTTTCACCTCTACCCTCAGCTTCTTCTGTAAGCTCTGACCCTTTTAAAGCAGAATTTAAGGCCTTTAGTTTAGTGGAGAATAGTTTAACACCGCCATCTTCACCGGAGCTTAGGAAAACGATTTTACCAGTAGCTGTTCCTATAACTGCATTAACTGTGAACGTGGTGAATTCTGCTGCCGGAGTGCTGAATCCCGGCTTCCGAATGCCTTCTCGAGGAAGGACTATTTCACAACCCCGTACTTTTACAAAGAAAACTGAGTCATCACAAGATGATGATAAAAGACGTATCCACAAGTGTCCCTTTAATGGATGTCGGAAAGTTTACACTAAAAGCTCTCATCTGAAAGCCCACCAGCGCACACATACAGGTGAGAAATACTTTAGCAGCATTGAAAACAGACAATGACTTATTATTATTAACTTAATAGTTATTTATTATTGATCTGTGATTATTAATCAGCAGTATCATTAAATGTCAGTAAGTATAAATAATATGCATTTTAATAATTATTATGCACATGTTTTAGTGTGGATTACTGTTCTTTAACTTCATATTCTTTTGATAATTACACATATTTTATTATGCTAGTTCATACAGTAGTGACTATATAATTATTCCATGATTTATTGATTCAAAGTTGATAGGTCTTGTGACTGTTTCTTCAATGACCCAATTCTATTCTTGGGATCGCTTAGTGAAATAGCACTCCAGGGCCTCTTGATGACTGCAATCACATGCATATTAAGAGAATTCTGAATAATGTAGTGTCTTTGTTTTTCTTTAAGTTAGTTTGAATGTAGGTAGTTATAGTAGTAATTAATTTTTTTATAGAAATTTGAAATGTTTTTCAGAAAGCTGTGTTACAAGTTTGCTGTTTGTTGCTCCAAGAGTACTAGGTACTCATCTTGGTTGAAATTGAACAGTTTTTCTCACTGTACTGTATGTCGCTTAGACGGCCAAGAAAATATGATGTGCCCCAAGCTCGAGTTGAGCGTTTTAGAAATAGTGCTGTCCCTTTCTTGACAAATTTGATTAAGTATAACCACTGAGATCCTGTCTTGTCTGTGGAATGTTTTTTATTACTTCATGAGTACATGCAATTCAGCCGTGAGGCTGCGATTTGTATGAAGTTATGAATAAAGAATAAAATTAAGTTTTGAATTATTAATTCATTAATTAATTTTAGGACCCTCAGCTTTGTATATTTGGTTGTTGAAGATAAATTAATATAGTTGGTGCACTTGTAAATACCAGTGTTGAGCAATTGTTAATTTATTTATTAGTTACTATATTATATTATTAGTTTTTTTCAGTAGTTTTGCTATGTATGATAAGACACATGCCCCATGTGAATAGAAAAACAAGGCTTTCTTTTGAAGTGTCTTTGCTGATACAAATTGTAGGTCTATGTACCAGTAATATTACCGGTAATAAAAGCTAACCAGACTAATGCAAGTCTTAAAACTGGAAAAATGGTCTTTTTTCCTGCAACTATTGGCTTGTGCTTAAAATTATGAACAATTGTAAATGTTCTATGTTATTATAATGGAAATGTTTGTGAAGGTACTGTACTCTCTTTATGTCAGGAAAATAATAAAATATCCTAGTTAAAGCATTCGTGATTCATTTCACCATCACTGTCAGTATACCTCCATGGTTATATTATCATAATAATCTGTAGAAAACAATACTACTAACTGTATTAGTACAATGCAGTAGTTCACCAGACTAGAAAGTAGTGATTTCACTGTTGGCAATTTTCAATCAATTTGGTCAATATGCAATGTTTGATCTAGGCAGAAATTCAATTAACAGAACAAGAGATATTAAAATGCATAATTTATTTAACAGCTTCAGTATAGTAGTGTACCCTATAGTGAATTCCCATTAATAAACAAAACACTTAACAACACAGATATAATGACATTTTTAGTATTGGATTACTGTATTATCATTGTCTATTATAATATATTACAAGCAGTACAATGATAACTTACAGCAAATTATATGAATGTTAATATCTGAAATGAATTTAAATGTTTGCTTCATCCAATCACTAGCAAAATATTGCCTCCTTTGAATATTTTAAGAATATTAATATTGAATTGTTAATACAATATATATATATCAGATAGTGAACTATAATTATATTCTATAAACAAGGAAATAAACAATAAAAATTAATGTATGATAAATAATTAAATATTTTAAAATGTGTCTATGCATGTGCCCTTTTTGAAAAAAAATATTGTTGTCAATAATACATGTGTTTTTGTCACATGAATATTGGGGTAATATTAATAAAATTTAAATTGATTTTAATCATGTGATTTGTTTGAGTTGATAAGTGGCAACAGGATATCATGTGATGCGTGGGAATAATGACCTTGCTTTCTCATTCAAGTCCTTCCTGGAGTATATTACGCAGGGTACTGGTAGCAGTGTGGTAGGCCTATGTAAAAGTTATGGTTAAAAGCCTAGAACATTGTAGAAATAATATTGATATCTGGCATGATATTGTAACTTAATACTTTTTCCTGCATTTGACATCAACACCAGCTCAACACTGTAATGTATGCCCCAGGGGACATATCAAATGTCATGGCCCAAGCATGGAGAGGAACTCAAAGTTAGACTGAAATTCAATAAAGAATAATATTGACTGAATTATGTCCATTTTACTGCTGACTCTACATTCCTAAATACACCCACATTTTAAGATTTATTTCCCGTAGTCCTTAAAAATGAAACAGAAACATTCTGTATTAGGTGCCAGGTTGCTGTTCAGTATATATGCTAAAATTGTTGATAGACTTTCCCTTTCCTAAACAGTAAGAAAAAACGAGATAGTTTAAGGCAATTAAACAATCAAAAAATGTAATGTTTATTCATTATTTTGGCACATCGGCTAAGGATTGCCAAATTGATTGATTGTCTACAAATTGGGAGAAAATGGTGGTTAACGCCACCTTTTCTTCCAGGTTTTAAATGTCTTAAAAATCTTTGGTTTCTAAGTTTTTGATCAAATGCCTTTCTGTTGCACAACATATCAAATTTATTCCTCTGGAGCCTAACTGTTAGTGTTTTTGGTCCCAATTACTTTGGCTTTTTCCTGTATTAAATGTGAATGTACAATATGCAGTAGACCCTAAAACAAAATCTTTATTTAACTATGTTTATGAATTAAACATTATTGTGTAATAATGTTACTATACTATGACAGAAATTGTCATTTTATCCAATTGATTCATGTGTAAAATACACGTATACACAAACACCCACACACTACACGTATATGCAAATACGCAAGCAATTTGTATGCATACTGCAGTACAGTATGTACAGAGCACTTGTATACTCAAGTATTTCTGTTATCAGGTGTTCTGTTGATTTGTACTGACAATTTATATAAAGTGACTTTGTGCAATGTTTTGTGAGCTGAGATTATTATACACCCATAAACAAGGTAAATCATAAATTGGAAAATATCCAGATCCATCCCAAGTAATTTTGCTAGACATTAAAACATTTAGAATATTTTTATGTATTAGGATTGGTAACTATGGTCACCAAGAGAGAATATTGATCAACAAGTGATAATGATTTTGATTTAAGCAATTTAAATAACTAATATAGAACAATGATGAGAACTAAGATGGAATAAGTTCTATTTTTATACCTCCATGTATTAGGAAAGAGAATATGTTGTTATTTATATATTTGAAATTCTTTACCACATAATATCTCATCTTTATCGCTCGTTTCATTGTATGTTGCTAGGAAACAGCAAGTATATATTCAGGCAGCCATGTTGCAGGCCTCATCTGTCTGTTTAGTAACATAACTTAATAATTTTTCCCAGGTGATGTATTCCGACTTTCCCACAACACCCCTGAGTAGGAAGCCATACCTTTCTCCACCTTAATCCAGGGGCCTGCAATAAAAAGCACAGAAATATGCAATAGCACTGGTGTTCATATGCCCAGAAGCCCATTGATGAGATCACTATGCATAACAAGCCCTGTTTGAATCCTACCAAGCAAAAAGCCAGAGGAGACCCTAGAATTGACCTTAAACCAGCTTGCCACAACAACTTTATTATCAATCATGTTGTGTTTGAGAAGTTTGTACAAGATACCATTACAAGATTTTAATGGGTGATAGAAAGGCACAAGTGTTAGGTAAAGCAGAATGGCAACGCCCAGCCCTAAAAGCCTCTACATCGTTATGACTGCTGATAACGCAAAGATAAATCACTAACTATAAACATTTTCTTCTCCATCCTGAGTATTTTGAGTAGGCCTACCTGGTAAAATCTGACAGGCAGTACGAACTCCCACGCACTTAAGTTCTATCAAACTTTAATTGACTCCCTAAGCCCTTAACAAATAGAAAGTAATGCCTCAGTTATCACCACCCTCCTGAGAATTTAGTAAAGATAATAAATTCTTCAAGAAATTTGATATTATCTTTCACTAACACCTACAGTATGACTCAAAGTACATTATTCAAAAGAATATTGTGCCATAGTTTTTTGATGGGAGCAATCTGGCAACCTTTAAAAAGGGGACTCGAGAACCCTTACTGGGAATTTTGCTTTGGTCTGCTTCAAGGTACTCTATGTTTGTGACCCTCCACTCAAGAGTACAGTATAGGCCTATTGATTCTAGCGTACTGTATGTTGTAAATTGAATATTGGTTTAGGAATAGTTTTAGGCCCTATAAAAAATATCATTAGTTTATCACCCTAACTGGGCAGGAAAAGTGATGAGGGAGGGAGGCTTTTTTTATTTTTTATTTTGCTAAAGCCAAATATATTCCCTTGGTTTGTTTGATGGTGCATTGATATTCAAAGTAAAACATGATTTAGATAATGCAAACAATATCTACTAACTATTTAATAAAATAAATGAAAAAAATAAGAAAAAATTAAATTTATTTAAAAAAAAATTTTTACACATTTTTTTTTTCCAGTACCATAGAAGTTATGTGCGCGAGGGTGATAAACTAATAAAAAAAATTTATTGGGCCTTAGTTAAAAAAAGGTGTCCAAGCTTGATTAGTGCAATGTATTTCTTTGTTCTCATTGTAATGCATATACAATGTTTATTATGTGTGATATTTTTCCAATAAAGAAACCAGACCAGAATACTGTGTCATCTCTATGTATTTAAAGTATCTTGATCTTATTTTACATTAATGTGTTGTAGAATTTTTTAACTGCACGGCTTTGGCTTACCGTACTTTGTATGGCCCTCTATATATGTCCTATAGTTGGATATACGCATGTTATATTTGAAGGCTTTAAAATCGCAATTTCATGTATTACCATTTACAAACTTCAATTGTATTATCTGTAGACAATTACCATATGTGACATGGTAGACATGGTCCTGCTGATTCCTAACCCCAATCACTGCTAATTAGGTACTTGTATTCAGTAGGATAAAAAATGCATTAAAAGCCTAGGTCTAATGTCAATTATAGTGCAGCACTGTTTACTATGAAATTCTATAACCAAATGAGGTCCAGTAATAGGTAATAATGTTCCTTCCGTGCAGTTTCTTAATGATAGCTTGGCAGTTTGATAAGATATAAAATACAGTAGTTTTAAATGTTCAAAAGTAAGTATGATGCTGAAAGCACTAGGCCTATATTATGGCAATTCGGCATACTGAGGACACTATATAATATGGCCAGTTGGCATATTGAGGGCATTAATTGTTTGGGCAAGTAGTAGGCATATTTAATATTAAGGCACTATATATGTTATAGCAAATAGGCATTCTGAAGGTACTATATAACAAGTAGGCATAGACCTATGGTAGGTACTAAGGGCACTAAATCAAGTATGCCTACTTGAATGCACTACATTATGACAAAAAGTAGGCTAAGAATAAAAACGCAGGAATTATGAGCTTGGTATATTATGGCAATGCATAACATTATGGCAAAGGAGGATACTTCCTTGATTATAAAACTCTGTTGATATGTCATTTACTTGTTCAAGCTATATATACTTTAGCACCAAGAAAGAAAAAAAAAATCCTGCCTTTTAGTATAGTAAGACCTATAAATATATTTAGAGTATCATCATCATTTTAAAAGTACAATTATATCTGTTTCTCAAAACTATATAGTTATAGGTAGTCACATTAGAGTATCAGGTTATGCAGTACAAAATGCATTTTATACTTTGATCTAATATAATTGGACGTACTTGGCTTGAGTCTGTCTAATTATACAATAGAGTGGAAACCAAGAAACTCAGTCCTCATGTCATTAAAGGCAAATGTTTTATGTGTTATTTTTAAAAGCCAGATCACATTATTAATCTAGACATTAGACAGATTTAAACTACAAGCAAGGGTGGCATGTAATTATTGAAATCCGGTTTTCGTTGTCACATGACTTCCCTTTATTATCCCCTACATAAAAGGGCAAGTGGATATAATTACCATAAATGTTTAAATTGACAAGCTGCAACTTGTCAATAACAAGTTTCTTAGCCAACTGTCTGAGGTTCTGAACTTGATTCTAACAGATAATCTTTGAAGATGATGGGACTTTGTTTCACAATTTTCATAAGACACCAAAAGAAAACATCATGTGGAAATAAGTACTTTATGGATACACTCCAATTGTAAACACACTGAATTGCCAAATTGTTTCACTTTGCTCAATAAGAAGAATTCTAAAAATTCTGTTTTCATCAGATAATATATTCAATTGATTATGGATATTCAACTATTATACACACATTTGGTGCCTTTGGTAAATGGTTGAATTAGGGCTATACAAATATTTATTATTATTATTATTATTATTGTTATTGTTATTATTATTTATTATTATATTAGTATTGTCTTTAGTATACACATTGTGACAATAGGTTTAATATTGAATATGATAACAATTATATTAAATTATAATCATTTTGTTTTTATTTTAGTTTTCTAGATTAATTTTTGATTGATCAAACATTTCTTCAGTGTTCATACCTAATTAATAATGTTCACAATTATAATTTTTGTTAATTAAAGTAATATTGATAATAAATATTTGCAGCTGCTGCTTGACCAAGTAAATTAAAAAAGACCTTGTAGTTACTTCCCCACAAATACTGTGACCTTCTAGTACAAGCAACCGTTTCTAAACAGATTTTAATTACTTAGTATGAAAGTATAGAATTCATATTAGAAGTACAGTAGTATCAAGTATAGAATATATATACTGTATACATTACTTAGCGTAATATTTAGTATTTGACCTTAGGGACTCATTAATTAGTGGCATCACAGAGTGAACCATAGTATTTGTTTTTACTCTATGCTTGACAGTTTATTTAAAAATTGTACCATCAACTTAGTACATTAGTATTGAAGTAGGGACCATAGTAGTATTATACAATAGACATTTTACTACCACTACCAATAATCTGAATCTCAGGAGCAAGTAAAAGGAACTAAAGTATATGTACTCCTGAATGGATACTTTATGTACGGTACTATGAATGTTTGGGTTTTTTCCCTAGAGTATTGTTATGATTTATCATGTGACTGTTGACCTTGCTAATGAATATGCAGATTGTTGCATTAAGGGCTTCTCCAGGGATGTGTATTCCTATTGTTGAGTTAAATATAGTGTACTTGTCCAGATGTGGTATTATGATGAGAGGCAGAAATGAAAGTTAAAACAGTTAAGATTTTAATTCAATATATATTAATTCCAAGTAACTTTAGTGAATTTTAAAAATTGTGACAAAAATATATGATAGTAAAATAATATTTTACATTGGTTTATATTAGCTTTTTTCTTGTTTGTTGATGAAAATATATTTGATTGAAATTATTAAGGTAATAGTTGTATTTTCAGTATTTTTGTATAGTTGTATTATTACTGTACTATAGAGGATATGCTATTGCAGATAAGATTTTGTTGGTTTTTCTATTTAAAAAATAAAAACCTCATTTGATTTTTCTTCCGCTTCAATTTGTTCTTATTTCTTTAAGCAATTTCAGCCTTAATGTTCTTTAAAAAAAAAAAGTGGAGTAGGCTATATTTTGTTGTTCTGCTCCTAAAGCTGGTTCCAAAATAATGCCTTTCCTGTGTGTGACCACAGTAGCTTAGTTTATGCATAGAATATAATAGTTATTTATAGAGCAATTCAGTGTGTTTTCATTTCATATTATGGAAACATTGGAACATGGTAGAAAAATTGACAGTAATTCTAATTATGAGACCTTGATAATGCATGATGATATAATTTTATGAGAATTTTGTATTCATTAATATGGTGTAGTCACTTATTGCAAATTACTTGAGGGACTGCATAAAATATATACGCATAATTGCTGGCAAAGCAATTGAGTTAACAGCTTAAGCATGTGACAATTTAATGGCCAACTCTTTATTGTCTAGATGTTATTAATAGGACAGTTTTTATGAAATCATTTAAATAAAAGATAAAAACTTTTGTTTATTTAATAAATTAATTTTTTACAATTATATTTTGATCTTTGAAATGTCACGGCAACATGTCTTCACACTTTTCCATGAAACATTATTTTATGAGCAGAGGCTATAATTTTATGCAAACAACACAAGTTATTACAAAAATATTTTTTTAAATAATTTTCAGGTGAAAAACCATACAAGTGCTCATGGGAAGGCTGTGAGTGGCGATTTGCACGTTCTGATGAACTGACGCGCCACTATCGTAAACATACCGGTGCTAAGCCGTTTAAGTGCAATCATTGCGATCGTTGCTTCTCGCGATCTGACCATCTGGCTCTGCACATGAAACGTCACTTGTGAGGGAATCATGCATCCGCAGAACTTTTCTTGCAAAACAGGATCTGAAACTTCTTGGAGCATGCGACGCTATGAGACGTATGGAATTATATCTTGACAGTAATGCGTGTTTGATATCAATGAGATAAGCATTTGATATCATTGGAACATATTTCTAACATCATGCAGAAAGAAGTGGTATGATGGAAGTCATAGTAACAAAGCAGTATATTGGTTTGAAGGATTACAGTAAATGTTCTTGGTTGTGAGTATCCTGATGCCAAGATTGGATGCTTTACTAGAGTCCTATCAGTGTTTGCTTTGGTATTCTGGACTATAGCTGGATAAGTTAGGGTGGAATTTGGTTTTTCTTAAAAATACAGTTATAGTATGTTAGGGCAAGGAAAATCTATCTCGCATTAGTCCGACTGCAAAATTTTGATGTGGAACACATCAATAAACTTGCAACCAACAAGGTCAAAGGTTATTGAAGCACTGTGTGCTGGATATGCTGTCTTGAAACCTAAATGCTTTTTAAACTTGTCTGTGAGGCAAAAACATTTCTCCTAAATTTACCAGAAGAAAGCTTGACAAAATTTGATCCTCTAAGCCTTTCTGCAAATCTGAGTATAGTAGTTCACAGCAAAAGCACATACAGTAACTGAATGTAAAGGTATGGATGATGTGTTCAATCAATCAGAACATAGTTCTGGTTAACCTTTTGAACTGGTGATGAAGTAGTTTGTAAACCAAAGACAGATTTTAAGCCAACAAATAATACCAATTAAGCTCCAGGAATTTTGGAGTAAATTTGGTGCACTTGTTAAACTTGGCCCATTCCAGCAACAAAGCCATTGGTAATTAAAGAAAAAAGATTAAGCAATTAGATGTAATGTTAAGGTGAATTAAGGCATACTATACCCCTGGAAACTCTTAGTTTCACATTAGTATATGGACTCCACGCTGCCTCTATTTTTATAACACTTATTAATACTTGCCAATTTCATTGATACATCCTATTATTGTTAACATTATCATATCATTATCATTATTATTGATATTATTGTTATATTGCTATCATCGTAGGGTTTGTAGGATGGACGGTATTGTACTGTAGTTACAGTAATTAAGTGCATATACTATTTTAAGCATATAATTAAGTATATATAGCTAATAAATATTGATTACTAAGGTGTACTGTAGTAATGTAAATGTAAATTGGATCCAAAGATAAACGGTTAACCATATTCGGTGACGACCTTGATACTCAAAAATATGAAAGGTCACAAAGGTCAACTCGAGGTCAACTTTGCGTATGAATAGCATACTAGTTAAGTCTGCTGAAAAAAGTTATTAAAAAAGTATTATTATATTATTATTATTATTATTAAATGTTGAAATTAGTAAAGTCCATATGATATGAGACTTTCTTCCTATATGGATTTTTAAAACAAGTGGCCAGTTTTTAGTGTCTGTCCATTGCCTATTGAGAAATCAGCTATTTGAACCGGTTCTCGACTAATAACTGTCCCTTATAGTGGACTATTCATGTCTTGGACCCATGACGATGCTTATAATCAAGGGCTCACAAATTGACATTTTTCATTGCATTCGATGAGTAAATACAGTTTAGTACTATCCTATCAAAATTATGGAGAAAAGTTTCAATATGCTTGTGAAATTTTGCCTTGTAGTCTAACTAGTAATTTGAAATTGTATGGTTCCTTCTTGTCGTTTCTGAAAATCTTGGTAAAAGTGTTTCCAATTGTAGCAGAGTGCCGATGTGTATCCAAATTTTGTCCTAAAACTTCAAAAGTATATCCTAAAGTGTTGTGTATGTGTATGTACAGTACTGTACAGTATGTGCGTATTCCACATGTGACATGAAGTGTCAAAATTCTTTGTGACAACCTAATTGCATGTACCGGTAGTAATTATCTATATGTTTAGAAAATCTTTCAAATTGTTGTCTATGATAAAATAAAACTTGAATTTTTATTTGATATAGTCAGACCATGGCTTGCACAAAAGGATGTCTTCAGATTCTGACATATCAAAGAAGTTGATAATGTTATTTTACTTTCAATGCAATTAAAGATGTGCAGAATATCATAATCATTATAAATATATTAATTGAACATGTCTAACACAGGAAAGGAAAAATTACATTTCTTTGCATTCATTCTGAATCTGCCAACTAAGAAATGCATTCATTTTATTTATTTTCGTTTCTCACCTTTCATTATGCAAATTTATTTATGTTGTTTGGCTTGTTTTCAATGCCTTTGTCTAGAAACTAAATTCAAATGTCCAACATATAAAAATATACTAACTGCAATCCAAAAAGCTAATATGAAAAAAATATATTTTTAAGAATCTTTTTTCCAAAAGCTAAAAGAAATGAATGCAAGACTTTCATTTTTGGACTTAATAATCGCTCGTTATACCATTCTTAGTAATATACATGCAAATGTCATTTTTTCGGACTGAAAAAAAATTAAATTTTTTTTATGTAATGAGGAATAAATTTCATATGATATACATATATAATATATATAATGTGGTATATATACGAGTAAGCTTTTTTTAATGATATTGATTTAAATATCAAGCACCAACATTTTAAAAAGTATACAAATTTTCTTATTTTTACTGGTTAGATAGAATGAGGTTCAGGAGTGAGGATATAATAATTGTAATGGGAATAATTAATCAGAATTAATCAATTGACATATACTGTAATACATTACTGATGATATGTGTTGTTTTTGGAATATTGATAAAGAGCATTGTAGCAGATGTTTTTATAATTTGGCAAGAATATTCTAGCTAAGGATGGCATTTGCTGCCTTTGCTTGTCAGCTTGGCCATGTAAGCTATAAATTGTATTTTACTATGTATTACAAATTATACAATATTTTATTATATGCCATTTTGACTGATAAATGTTAAACTTTCATAAGATTCCATACAATGGCTCTACTTGATATAGCTTAAGATTTTTAGTCATAAACATGTTTACCATTTATGTTGAGTTAAATGTCAACAAAATATTAGATAACAGGCATTAAGAAGTATGTGATGGCTGCATTTTTTATACTGTAGACAATTTTTTCCACTGGCATTTATCAGGATTTAAATTTTAAAAGAGATAATATTGCACAGCATGAAAAACAGGTCATCGTTTTCACGTACCTGCTTTAATGTTGTCAAGGTACCTCTCATAATGCAACATACTTGTCCATGACTGTGAGTCAGTTTGCTAGATGCAGGTAGGTCTAACCTACTATTATAGCAATGTTTATTAAAATGCTTCACTTCTCTCAACGTCATGTGTAAAATTAATTTGCAAAATAGAAATACTTTTTGAACTTGTTATTTTTTCAGTAATTTGAATACCAAAATTTGAAAAACTACTACTTTTATTAGTAAATAACTAAATTATACAATACTGTGTTTGTATTTGGTACTCATACCACATTTAGCATTAATTTACGTACCCTTAAACACGATTTCCATACAATCGCTACACGCTATTACTGACAGCTTTCGTTGAAGCTGATTGGTGATTGGTCGGTCGAATCAGGGAGCCTTCTCGATTGCATCGGGTACTGCTACGAAAACACTGTAGCGTCAGTGTAGCGATTTTAAGGAAGCCAGGCATTCTAGTTGGTACTATCACTTAGTCCTATATCAAAATTGTTTTTTTTTTGTTTGCATCATGATCATTGAATATATACAGTACTCATCAAATGATTTGCCTGCCCCTGGAAAAAAAACCTGCAAAAACTACACCATATTTTACAGTTTTCTATCAGAGCTCCACAACCCATATTTTTGTATTTTTTATTATTGGTTTATGTTGGAAAAATATTTATTCTATGTTGAGCTATAATTCCAGGATGAATGCAGCTATTATCCTAGAGTTACATTTGTAGTGCATTTATCAGTTTTATGTAAAATGTTTCTGTCATAGAAAATTCATTAATATACGTACAATACAGTCTAGATTTAGTATGATTTAAGAATATTTTTTGATAATCATATGAAATTTTAAGATTATCTGTGTAGACAATTATATAATTTACTGATATTTATAAATTCCATATATAAGAGGGTAAAGGACAAAATGGTTATGTGTATTATATATGTAAATGTTTTTTGTCCTTATTCAAATGTATTTTTATTTTTTAATTTACCCCAACTCTAGCGAGAATTGATACTTGTCTTAGAGTCTGCGTTCTATGTGTATGACAACTCGTTTTGTATATCTCCCAAGTTGAACTATGAAATATATATCAAAATTAGTTTTAAATGATAGTACTGTGTTCCGAATGGAATTAAAATTCAGGTTTATAATCCTGCTCGCTTACCATAGCAGTATGATTATACAGCTATTCTTGTTATTGTTATGAAAATCCGGTTAGCTCTTTTCATGTGGATGGTATTTCCATATATGGGCATATGTATCTGCTGTTAGCTTCTTAATTAGTCAGGCTGCATTGGCTGTCAGCCAATCAGCTCTCATAAGGTTCTGTGCATATATGTATATATATATATATATATGTATTTGAATGACCTTTGTAGTGAAAGAGGTCAGTTGCTAATTAAAATCTTCAAATGAAGATGTTAATAAAATATAGATTTTTTTTTTCATTAATTTAGAGAAAAGTTCATTCTAAAAAATGCATGAACATTATTTTTTTGGTAACCAAAATTTTCTATTCAAAAATTTGCACTAATTATGAATTATTTTATATCTAATTATTTTACACTAATTTTAATTTTTAAAAAGGCACATCCGTCTTCATCTATTGTATATGTATATGTAATGTATATTAGCTCAAAACTTATAATAAATAAAACATGTAAACTCAAAGTATGCATTGTTCATGTCAGATTTCTTGTAGTTTAAATAATTCAAGAAATAATAATGAATGAGATGATTTGTGATGTTGATTTTGTGACGAGAGCAGTTTACGAGAGTTGATCATTAGAGAGAACTTAAAAGCGACTGAACTTCCGTTGCTGAATTCTGTTCACGACCCGCTTTTCATTATGTGAGAACATTGTGATTATAATTTTTCTGGAGTTCTTGATTAATAACATATTTATACTTTCTTCAGGACCCAGCATAGTATTCACAATACCAATATAATTTTAATAATTACAAATTTACATAGTTTACATCCACAAGTATTTAATTATGAATGTATTACTACACACAAATATAAAAGGCATCTGCTGAAAGATTACAATATTTAATTAAGTGGAGGTAAAACTTTAAATACGGTAATAATGTTTAATATTGCAATATAGATAATGTCAATGATTAAAAACATGAAATATAAAACAGACAAAATATTCATTTTCAACAAAAATATAAGATTTACAATTGATTATTCTCAAAATAAAATTGGATGGTATAAAATTATATATAATTTAAAGAATTACTTCAAAATAGTCAATTTATGATAAGTTTAAAACAAAATAATTATAAATATTGTTGTGATAAATTTCCTGTTCCATTCTTAATTCCACAATTCCAGTCATAAAATGTTAATACCATAAGTATGTTCAAGGAGTTTTGAGGAATATTTGATCTATCAACCACATAATATTATCATAAACAAGTTGACCCAAATATATAACTATTTCATTTATATGAATATTAAAATACAACAACAGGAAAGCACAAACATTAATACACCTGACTGGATTACTCAACTGTAAAATGTTATTGTGTGACAGCCAATCACATGAATAGACAACAAAGGGTGTTGATATTTTACCAGCCAAAAAAGGATGAATACATGCTTAGTAAAGCAAAAAGAATGCTCCTTTATGTTATTACTAATTTATTTCAAGCAATGCTGACTAATACACAGGTACACTAATTTGCTACCAACAATTTATTTACATTGCTAATGGAACATGGATAAATTTACGCAATCGCTAAGTAAACGAACACAGATAATTAATCACCATATATGGAAATGCTCTTGTTGACGATGATGATTCATCAAAGTGACTCATTTGCATATCTTATAGTACCTCTCTTGGGTCATAAAGTATGTTATAGATTAGTAATTAAAGATTATGAGGCATTCTATGCCAGTAAATGTGCAAATGACAATAACTGGTTTTTCTATGCTTGGCTCCTCATAACTAGTCACCGTTCACAAAGTGAAATTATCTTTCTCAAGGTCAAGCAGAGATCTGAAGTGGTGACAAATTTTGATGAAAAGTTTTCTGCAGGTTTCTTGTGAGTGGTTTGTCCTACTGAATAACAATATTCACATTCAAGAAGTTATTGTAACTTTAAGTTTATTTAATTGCAGTCATGAACAATTATTATTTTTTTAAGTACCTTCATTTTATATTTTATGTTATTTGTAAAAACATCATTAACATCCTCATTGTCAGCATCTGTATCATCATAATTTGTTGATAATAATTCATCTGTGTTGGTGTACGATGTAGAAAATTTTTGGAATAAAAGTTTAGAATTTTCTACATCATAATTTGTGTTATCACCATCATTATTTGTATCATCATCTTCGTCGTCCTCGTCATCATCATAATCTTAACACTGAGATCAAAACATGTATTTAGACAATTATTATTATAATTATCTGTATCATCATCATTATCATCGTCTGTATTATCACCAACATCAATCACACTTATCTATTCGCTTCCTATTCTGCTTTCGAACTTGGTCAGGATCAGAAGAATTACAATAATTATTGCACTCTCATTAATAACAAACTACTAACAGACACTTGTAATGTGCTATGACAATGGCAGGTGGCCTGGCAAGGAAGTTACTACGGTAAGTGTTAGTGAAACTTATTGATTAGCCAATAATATGATGTGATAGTATGAAGATAAAAATAATACTAAGTCCATGATGCTGGTGAGCTTATTTTACAGCATAGTCATCCAGCATAGTACATTATGCCATTTACATTAATTTACATAATGTGTTTCTCCTGCATGTAGTGCTTAACTCAAAAAAGAATATTTCATAAATTTTATACCATGGATTAAATTTATTTTTTTTAAATTAAATTGGAAATTATAAATTGTTAATGAATTTATTAATTATGTTGTTTATAATTTTGTAATAAATATGAACTGTATGCACAGCATATTGTAAAATTAATTAGAAATATCGACCAATATTGTCTGCTGAGAAAAACATAATGGATTTAATAAATACTCTAACAATTATGTCAACAAAGGGCTATAAAAACAAAATCCCTATTTAGTTTTTATTATTTTATTATATATTTGGAAAGCAATATTGAACATTCGACAGTTCTATATCAATTAAAATTAATTCTATATTTTTTATTTCAGAATCAACAATGTTTCAGCAATATATTACAAGTGTACAACAAATATATGTAAATTACATGTAAATAGTAGTTTAAGGGAAGAAAAACCACTACTATCATCCATGATGTTTTTGGTGTCATATAAGTTGGATAGCAAGAGAGCACCAGAGAGTTGCTGCCAGGCCTCAGGAGCCAGACCTACAAAATTTAATGGTAAATTCAAAAATTAATAAAATTGTCAACAATATGAATTGTTATTGCTTAAGTCCCCCCCCCCCATCGGCCAAAGCTCGCCAGGCATTCGGACCGAAAAGAACAAAAAATAGGCCTAATTTTTCCATTTCAGCCATTTCTAGGCCATCTACTAGTCTAGAAGTCCCAATTTTTTTTTTTTTTAAATCTCATTTTGGGAGGAGGGGACATCCTTCTCCCACACCCACCCCCCAGCTCGGGCCTTCGGTTATAGTTACACACATTAATACTTAGCAACCCCCAGTCGGACATCTAAGTCCCCCTATAAATTATATCCTAGAGCCGCCACTGTATGGGAGTACACCAATACTCAAGCAACTTTTTACCTTCCCAGGATATTTTATAATTCTGATACCTATTTATAATTTATACACCTGGTTAGAGAAAGTCAAAAGAAGAGCAAAATGAACAGCAAGGCAATTGAACCAAAACCTCAAGGTTGAGAGCTGTTCATGTTGAGAATTCAGGATGTTTATATAAAAACAAGCCCATCATAATTCAGTCAGCATTAGCCATAAAATTGCAATAGTTTTCCCTTGCAAAGTAAATGCCATAACAACCAACTGGCAGCTAATTAGGTTTACTTACAGGGGAGAATAAAATTGCTTGCATTACAGGATAACTTTGAATCTTATACAACAAAATAAATAAGAAAAACGTATAAATAAAATGTCAACTTAAATATCCGGGTAGTAATGATGCATTTTGACTGTGACCTCTTTCAGATATAATATACACGTTTTTTTTTTATAGTTATGTGCAAAAACTGATGCGATCAGTTAATTAATCATGATTACATGAACATAAAGTGAAGCAATTCACACAGTTATTTGGTGTTTGATTTTCAAAACAAGTTCATACAAGACTTAATTTACCAGCAGATATTCATAATAGCCTATATAGACCTATTTGGTTATTTATTTATCAATTTAATATGTGGTTTGTAAAATCATTCATTCAGACACATATTTTTTAATAATTATTTATTAAAGACCTTTCATTCATTGAATTGTTTGCTTTCATATGAATTTTAGTTACTTGATTTGGATAAATTATTACTATATTTATTTATTCCAGGTAAATATTTCTTAAACATTATAAATATCAATTAATTAATAATTTACTTATTTGTTTATTCATTATTATGTATTTATTCAAGTATAAAACAATGACAGTGGTAGATTATTAAATAAATTCATTGGATCCTACGATAAATATGTATTAGAGGTTCTTTTTGATGATCCAAAGTCAAGTGTAAAATTGAGATGTTACTCAATATTTATTTCTTGACATTTTGCCTATCAGCAAGGCTTAGTCACAAGTGCCTATAATGACTTATGACAGGCTTTTCGATGTCAGCTTGGATGAACTATGACAGTGAACTTTAGCCTTTGATGACCATTCAGGATTTCCCATACGGGATGTGCAGGGGTCCGTCTCCTTCAAGATGTTGTCGTATATATGTGGCAAATTCATATGCGCCCTGATCTCTATTTATGTTATTAGGGTGTAGTTTTATGTTGATGACTTCTTTGATTATTCTATTGTTTCATTCTCATTCTTTGGCTAAGATGCTAACAGTATTCCAGTTTGGGAGGTGGTTTCGTGTAGTCATATGGTCAGTGATGGCTAAGTTGTGAATGGTGTTTGAGGCCGACAGTCCGTGTGATCTAGTTGACATTATAATCACGCAGACTCCAAAAAGACTAAGAGAAGCCATAGTGATTCAATATTTCATTCTTTATTCGAACATTCAATTCAATTCAATAATAATTTTATTCCAATATCAAACAATACAATTATCAGCAAAAGAAATACAAAGGTAGTGGATAAAGGAATATGTTACAAAATAAGCAAGAAAAATGCTTTAGATATGTAACCCTGCAAAAAAAAAAAAAAAAAAAACATCATCAGGAATGAAAAATAATTTTGTCCATAGCAACATATACCAGAATTGAAGTAACTTAGCTAACCAATCAAAAGCGAGAAACCGGTAAAATTGACCAATCAAGTAAAACAAGGTGTGACATATTATTCATGAATAAACAACATACCTTAAAACAAAAGCAATCTTGAACACATTGTTGATATGAATAAATAAATAAACTAGATGTTAATGGCTGGTTGAACAATGCAAAGAGTTGACGAATGCGTTAATATTATGTTCCCTTAGGCATCTTCTGATTCTTTCGGATATGTTAGGAAAGTATGGTATCCCAATATTATCTTTTACCTTACCTTCCTTCTTTTCTTTTTCTTTACTTTGTTTTTTATTTTTCTTTTCCAACACCTTTTTCACCAACCAACTAGGGTACTCGCATATGGATAGCGCTGATGTGATAATGCTCATTTCTTTGTCTTTGCTATTTGGGTGGAGACGACACTCTCACACCGGTCCCCGAGAGTGCTAACGACGTTCAGCTTGGGTTCAAGTGGATGACATGAGTGTAAGTATTGATTTGTATGTGCGGGTTTTCTGTAGACAGATGACTTTGTTGTCTTATAATGAAATTTTGTCATGTCCAAAAAAGGGATGGTGTTGTTGGACATGCGTTGTGTTGTAAATTTTATATTGCTAGTGAGGTCGATATTGTTGAGGTGTAAGTTGAGCTTATCAGCAGCCCCCTCGGGGACCAGTGCGAGAATGTTGTCTACATACCTTTTCCATAGTATGGGTCGTTCATCTGCTGGGGATGATTGTAACGCCTCCTCTTCCAACCATGAAAATATTCACTACAATTTGACTTACTGGGCTGCCCATTGCAACTCCTTCCACTTGCCTGTAGAAATTGTTGTTAAAGCTGAAATATGTGGTTTTCAGAACAATAGAGAGCAACATTATTAGATCATCGACAGATAGGTTTGTGCGGTCCTTTAGGCTCGTGCAACTGAGTAACTGGTGTTTTATGATGTTAATGGCTTTGTCTGTAGCAGTTTTGGTGAACAGTGAGACGACATCATATAAAACGAAGATATAATTTGGTGGGATACTTATTTGGTTCATTAGCAGTGGTCAGTAGTCAAATGCCAGAAAGGGTTACCACAGCTAAGGACTGGAATGGCTTGCATAATAATAAAATAGTACAAACAGTGGCACAGCAGCTATGATCTCTCACTGCTTAGAGCCAGGGGCCCAGACCTTAAAGGGTCCGAGATACTAATTGGCATTTATTTTTGCCAAGACCATGGGCCACAAATTGGTGGAGTGGACCCCTTAATGAACAGAAATTATAAAAATAACATGGTATACACCCCTACATGACCTCTAGCTCCAAGAGTTAATAGGGCCCGAGGAAGCTTTAGCAAGGGGCCTCGTGCCTCTGTGTGCCATTTAGTCCAAATATTCAATATATAAATTAATATGACAAGGATGATCCAAATTTAGATTAAAATTATCATAAAATCATACAGAAATATTAAATGGATGGATGGATTTATTTGGTGAAAACCCCAAGGATAACCCACAAATGTCTGAAAAATACTTATTTCCAGTGGAGTCTTTCTGGTGGTGATTGGGCAGTACACCGGGAGATAATCCCCTACAGTGACAGCGCCAGCGGGGTGGCAGGGGGGGCTTAAGCCCCCCACCGGACAGGTCAAGTCCCCCCCCCCGCTGGACAGAGCTCGTCAGGCAGTCAAACCATAAAACATATAAAAATAGGCCCACACCAAGCCAACACGTCTGTCACAGTCTGAGAGTGCCATTTTTGGCCATCAACAGGTTGATATTCTTTAAAAATTCTCATTTGGGAGGGGAAACCCCCTCTCAAACCCTTCTCCCAGCTCGAGCCTATGAGCTCAAGTCCCCCATGTCAGACAACTTAGTTCCCACAGAAAATATATCCTAGAGCCGCCACTGCACTGATCCCCTACTCTTTTCTGATGATAGTACTGCATTCTTTATGTACACCAATGGCTTAAACGTCTCATCTGAAAGATGTGCTATCGTAACTTGCATTGCAGCCCTCCAGCTGAAATACAAGGAGAGCAGCGATGGAAATTGAACCAGGAACCAATAGATCTCCACAGTTCAGCGCACACACGGTGGCTACCACTAGTTTAGCCGAATGAGCTAACAGCTCACATATTTAAAAGTATGTCGAGACTACTATAAATTATTAAAATAATAAAATCTTGGCCACCTACTTCCATCTCATTATAATGACATGAGAGAGTGTGGGAAGTATTATATCACATAATATTGCAGGAAGAGGATAATATTGCATTACATTACATGCCAGGAATGGGGACTATTGAATCACATGAAATGGCAGGAGTGGGTGAAGTATTGCATCACATGTCATTTAAACATGGAGTGAGCGAAGTAGTGTATCAGATGACATACATGACAAGAAGTGGGGAATATTACATCACATGACATGGAATATTGCATCACATGACATGACAGGGAGTGGGGAATATTGCATCGCATGACATGACAGGGAGTGGGGAATATTGCATCACATGACATGACAGGGAGTGGGGAATATTGCATCATATCTCAGTCTTCTTCGCTTGCCTCATTATGAGGTCATACCACCTCTAAAATTGACCTCTCTGATGTAACTTTAGAACTAGCAAGCATTCCTCTGCAAACCCCAAGGAGAAAACATCATCTGAATACTTTCCATCAAGATGTTTTTCAGCTCAAGTTCTAATGTAGTATTATGTATTCATGATGTCACTAATGCCACAGGTCATCCTACATGCTATTTTATTTTGCTTGTAGTCAGGACGATGCGTCGATGAGTAAATGTAGTAAGTACATGGCAGGTAAAGAACATTTCACAGAATCAGCTTTCAAGGAATTCTGGTGTTCCAACATTTAGGTTGTGATTAATATTTGAAAAATACAAACTAGAATATCTGTATCATACAGAAATGTGCATAATGATCATTCATTGAAAATTTATCAGTGTTTCATTGTGTTCCCTACATTAAGAGTCTTGTGCCACAACTGAAAATAAATCAAATGTAAAACAAATTAAAAAAAAATAATAGTGCATATTTTTATTATACTATTAAGCAAAAGTGAGCTGAAGTAGATATATCAAGTCTGATGTTAGCTCCTAAATACAACATATTGGTGTCATTTCTAATTTTTTTTATTTGGTATCCAGGCAATCTGTAATCTGTAATATCTTTTTAGTTATAAACAATTGTTAACTTATCAATTAAAAATAATAATTAATTTGTAATTGTTTTTCATTAATGGCTTTCCTTACCTGTTAGGCAAGACTTTTTTTATTCCTTGTTTCGTGAACTTACTTTTTTAAAGATCACCAGAGGAGAGCGGAAAAAAATAAAAATAAAGTTTTGTTTTCTTATATAGCAAATAGTTTTGACAGAGCATCCAGACAGAGGAGAAAATAAAAATAAAATTTTATTGGTAAATGTAAACAGTGTAGTAATGGGATGGTTAAATGATTTAAATTTATATAATCAGGAAGAATTTACATATCTTATCATTAGAAATTTCAAGGCAGCGGAGGGCATAATAAAAATAAAGAAAAACGGTTATTTTTTTCTGAAATTTCTATTTTTTTGTGGATGGGATATGCTAATTGGCTACAAATAAAATGTTATTTTTAGTCAAAATCATCATTATTTGCATTATACATAGAGTTACCAGGTGCTTTCTCCAAACATTTTCCGTTCTCATGATAGGCCAATTCTACAGGTACACATAGGCCACAATATGTACCCAAGGCTAGACCCCCACGGCATGTAGTATATGCCTATTCCGCACCATGTATTTTACAACAGGCATATGCTATGCAGACTTCCGAGATGATTTATGTAGCATCATGGGATATTGAATATAGCATTGTGGGATGTTCAAACTGGCATCCACACTGGTTGCTATCTGCATTGTTGGGGTATTTCATGCCTTAATTTATGTCAATATAACAACAGATGTGAATCTTTTCATAAACATGGTCATGTAGGTAGCTGTTGAGAGGTTTCATGTAGCATGCTCATTTATCAATAAATGAGCGTCTTTTTTATGAAAATGTTATTATTGAGATTTAATGCATAATTTTATCCATTGAGTTTGTTGAAATAAAAGCCTCAAATACAATTTCCTAAATTATGCTTATCATAAACTCCAATCAACTCAAATTGTCATTATCATTTCAGAAACGTTTTGTAATTTAAAATGATTCGTACATGTGTACATTGCAATTAATATTCCCTGGTACACATAGGGCTATAAACCATAAGGATTATTGATTTCAAATATAAACAATATGTTTTTAAAGGTATCATAATGTGCTTTAAAAGGGCAGCAAAATACACTTTGTGTTGCACAACCTAACCTATGCAAAGTCTTTAAAATCTAGGGTTGGCTTTTTTTGCAAAGTAACTTTATGCATTTGAAATTTAGCCTTATTGTTATCATTTTACCAATCAAAATGCATTGGCCATTGACTGATGCGTGTCCCAGGCCATATAGTATAAACCACCCAACCAACACTAATTTTCGGTGCAGGGCAATAAAACAATTTTGTTTTGGGTCTAATTAAAATACCAATAAAAGATGTATTATTCTTGTAATCAATAGTGTCATCGTTCTTCACAATAACATATCTAAACTTGTTAGTATACTCGCCATGATGTGACCTTCCTTTCCTATAAAAATTACCATTAAACTGTCATATTTTTGTCCAGATGGATCTATAAGTACATATTAAAGCACACAAAACCTTGAAAAATATCTAGTTGTTGCATTTGTTTCAGTATAAAGTGCTATATAAATCTAACTACATTACATTTGTACCATTTTTAAAATACTAATATGCACATGTCAAGTTTATTAAAATTACCATGACAACAAAGTTCAAGGTTCAATTGAAGCTTAAGAAATTAATGCTCATTACAGCACACTGGTTCCATCTAATCGTAAGCTGAATACTAGTAGGGCAACAAAATTGATTACGCCTACTTTAACGTTGATTTGCAGAATGACTTCATGAAAACTAATTATTTTTTCTGTAAGATTATGATACTGGTGTAAGATTTAATGCTGCTCAGCGAGATAAAAATCTGTAATTTCTGGACTTGCATACAGATATTGTGTTTGTGCAATTAATAGCCCACAAAACCCTAATAGGCATGCCTTGTCTGAGGGAGGGGAGATTTTCCCTGACACCCTCCACAGGTTCTCCAATCCAAAGTTTTGGTAACTTGCTTGCGGAAGACTTCTTTGGAAAAGCTGTCACCACCACTGGATATTTCTGAAAAGTAATTATTCAAGGTTAAATCTAAAAAGCGTTGAATAAGAGACTGTTGTTTTCATGAGCTTGCTGTCAACATTCTTATTAATTTTATGAATGACAAAAAATATTGAAGTAAATGCTTTTGACCATAGCATTGACCTTTCCTGAATCTTAAGCATTCCACCACACATTGGATTTATTTCCATTGCAGATGGATGCTGAAGTCCAATGATTTATACAATAGCAAATCCTGTTTTTACAAAATCCCAGCTATTTTTCTAGCTCTTTTCACTTTATTTAGAATTTTAAATACACATAAATTAAATAGAGTGATTAATTCAGGGTCTCACTCAACCAAATTTATCCAAGGACATGAAAAGGGATGTGTAAAAAAAACCATTGTTCAGAAGAAGGGAGTGTTAATAAAAAATAAAAAAAACCAGTGAAAGATTACGTGGTCATTCACAAGATACTAACCAAAGATACCTTTTGTGCAACACTAATCCTACAATTATTTTGTACCATTCAAGTGAGACCACGCTTTTGCATGGATCTTCTTGCTATCAATTCTTTGCGAGTCACGATTACTCATCTTTTGTGAATTCACCACAGATTTATCCTGGCAATTTCACCTTATTTTTTGTTAACATGTAGGAGGGAGGTAAATGGATTACCAGATTCCTTAGGGAGTTTTAATGCCATTATGTCAGCAGCTTAAGAATACCTTTCAAGATGCTTCTTTTTTTATGTATCATGCTTTACATGTAAGGCTTATTTTATTTGTCCTTTAACTCCATTGATAACTATAAAGAGGCCAAATAATGATTTCATTCACATTAAATAGATTACAGTGTTAAAGAATCTAGTATCTATCTCTTTTTAAATTGAAGTGTATTGTAGTAGGTAGGTAAATCGTTTAGGCTTTATGATCACACTGGTTTATTCTATTGTCTAAATTCTATAATTGTCTAAAATTTATAATCATTGCCTATTGATGTATTATATGATAAATGACCAGAGAAGGGTCAAAGTTTACTCATCGTTACAGGCTAGAAAAGGTGAGGAAGTACAGTAAGGACAGATGAGTGGATATTAATATGGAAAACAGGATGCAAGATGAATGGTACCTCAGGTGTTTATTGGCTGATAAAGGCAAGTATCATTCTTCAATGAGGGAGTTCCAGGGAGAAAATTAATCAAAAATATTAAACCAGTACACTTAAAAAAAAACATTCTCTTTACAGCCACTATTTCTGGGATATAGGTAGCTATAATAGCGATTTTCAAAAATTAATAAGTTGTTTACAAAATAATGCATGAAACAAACAAGAAATCTTGACAAGTAATCTCAACATTGTTGTTTATTTCATGAAGTAAACAGATATTTTTCTAGCTGTCAGCAAAACCTTTCAGAACTAATGGTCAAGTTCGGAAGTGGTGTGATGAAGAGAAATGGGAGTTATTGCTTGCATACTCCTAATGAGACTAAATTCTAGGTTGCATTCTCTGGCGAGGTTGCTTGTTCATTAGTCATGAGATTATGAATTTTTGTGCCATTGAAGAATGCGGTTCACGTCCCAGGAGAAATCAATCAGATGAGGGTGATTACAGTGCCGGGTATGTAATTTGAATATCATTAGTGTGGTGTTAAGTTATAGAAATTCAAATACTGTATTGGCAAGTGTTTATCATAGCCAGTTTATGCCTGTGGTATCAGTAGGGTTGGGTTGGAAGGGGAGTAGCCACATCATACAAAATAATATCTTGTATTATTATACAGATTCCATTAAAGGTCGTTTAAACAAGAGAGTAATGAGCACATACAAGCAGTCCAATGGATAGTAAATTTTCAGCATATTTAATGTAACCTATTTACATATTTATACAGGTATAAAACATATCAGGTGCCGGATATTATAACCTGTTTTACATATGGTCATGTACAGCAGCGGCTTCGGAAATTTGCTGACAAGGGGTCCAAACCAAGGGCCAACTAGAGCCTCAGGTCGGGTCCAGGTAGGGTTCACAGGGACAGTTTTTATGGCTTAGTATAGCACAAATTGTGCTTCTAGACCACAATATTAGGGATTGGTAATCAAAATAACATTATTTGAATAATAAAGCAATTTAATATTTTTTTAATTTGTTATCCGATGACATGGTCCTGTCGTCGAATAATGGATGTCCAGGCCTGTCCAATGGGGGTAAATTCCCCCTGCTGCTCGCTGGTGCCACCACTGGCTTGTTATACAAAATTATGCAATATATCTACCTACTTAGACCATAAAAAAAACTTGTTTCCTATATTATTTCCTTAGAACGTAAGTTTCCGGCAATATTCCAGGGACTCCTATTTCTGAATAGGAGACACACATACTTCCTAAACTTCCAATGCTGATTACTCCTGAAGCCAAAATTGCATACTTAACAATCCATAATTTCATTTATTTCATAATTGCAGATATCAGTGTATGACAAGACCAATAGACCTTTCTTGAGAAAGGTCATCTAAAAGTGAAGTTAATCACTACCATGAATGAAAGACAATTTTAACAATAAAAAAAAGAAAACCCTTTTTGAATTGCTGCCAGAAACTTAGGATGTATGCAAAAAAGTGTGGTATTGTTTGATTATTAGTAAGGATATTGAATTTTATCTCTGATTTTTTATTGAAATATTAAAATTAAGTGATTAAGTTTTTTAAAGTTTATATTACATTTATTGGAAATGTTGAGTAATTAGCATTAGAATTTTTAAGAGAACATAGCACAATATATTTACCATGTATTACTGTACCTCTACAATGGCTTGTGTAGATTAAGGAAACCCAGAATCATATTCACATACTGAGAGGGCGGATCAATTCTTACACGACTCATGTGGAGCTGTATGCACATTACTACCATTCCCAAATCTAGCAAGTTTACCATTTTTATTGTTGCTTTTTTATAATTATATAATTTAAACTTTTAATTCGTTTTAATTTAATTATGTATATGTGCGCTATACAAATCTAACTAAAGTATTATTATTTGTGAATGATGCACTATACTAGCTACTTGTTTTTTAAATGTATAGTAGTATTAGAGACAGTGATTATTGTATATAATTGATCTCCTTTGATGTTTTACTTCTTTAATATATGTCAAGTTTTAACTTAAATGTACCAGAGTCCTAATAGAAACCAGGATTTTGGACTACCATTGTAAAACATTGTGAATAAATAAACATTTGGCAATGTAATAAGATTGCTACAAAAATACCTTAAAGACAGCATATGCAATTCATAAGCTAAAGGAAATGAGCTATATAAATGCTCATTAACATTAACACAACAAGATATGGCAGAAGTTGTTATTATTTAAAGGTACCCTGGAATTGTTGATAATTTTTTGTTTTTGAAGGAACACAACCTTGGAAAGAAGTCCATTTGATCACTTCCTTCCAACACTAATATGATGGGCTTGATTTTGTGACAGTCTTGTCAAAACCGGATGATATAAGCTTTGAAAGTGACAAGGTTTTTTTTTATGTGTAAATACCATTTACACATTTGAGGTAAAAAAAAATCTTAAGCTTGAACTTACCTAATATAGGCTGTTTAGTCAATGCTTTACTTATTTCTATACTTACTTAATAACTTTGTATTGCTTCCAATATATTAATAATATCAAACCATATTCACAGCTTAGCCAAAAGGCTGATTTTCGTTAGATTCATAGTGTTTTGTACATTTTTTAATGAGGCTTGAAGAAGGGAGAGAAACAGTGCGAACAAATTTTTAATTATTTAATAGGAAGGAGTGAGAAATACTCACTATTTATTCAATATATTGTGTAAAACAAGTAATTATAAATCAGAATTAATTCTAAATATCAATGGTAATGTGGTAAATACTTGTTGAGTGTCATCCATACCATTATTGGAGAAGGAAGAGTTAAGATTTGAATCCATATCTAGCTTTTTAAATATTTTAAGTTCTAATATTAAACAGTATTGCAGGCTTCTGGTCTCATCCTAGCAATATCCAATCGACTGGCCAGTTCTACAAAATAAATTAGCTCACATATGTTCATAGTCTGCTAATTTGGTCACATGACCAAGTTTGTATTGATGTCTATGCGTGCCGCATAATTCAGTAATTCCGTCAGTTTAATTAAATCAATATCGGTTGTGGCGAGTCCAGACTAATATACACTAACTAATGACTGAGGATGGCAGGACCATATTAGACCAAGCCATATTGCTATAGACTTCAATAACATATCATCTTTGAGGTTTGAACTACAATATCTTTCATAAAGCAAATCAGATCTTGTTGGCTTGTAACGACATTTATGAAACATAAATCAACATTGATCTGAGATTTTTGTTACAATGATTATTTGAGCAAAAATCTTGGAGTTGGAAAAAACTTTTATTCATATAAACAAAACCGATTTGAATTTTAATTTAAAAAAATTAACATTAACATTATAGGCCTAATCAAGTATGTTATAGAAAGTTAATTATGATATATAAAAAAAATTATGTATATTATGTTATTATATTCTTTACTTGGAAACAATACTTCTACAATAGTGGCACTCGTACGTAAAGGTGTGTCCAAAGAAAAACAAAGCCAAGAAAATTAAAACTTAATCAACACATTAAACAAATAAAAAAAAAAAACTTTTGCTCAAGCAAAAACAATGCCATCAACCTGCAAATGGAAGCTATAAATAATGCATAAATTTATTATACTAAATTGAAGTATATTGTGTGATTATTATATTTGAAATATATGGCATAACAATGCTCTATTGTCGTTGTGGGAAGATGTGAACTTAAAGCTACTGTAAGCGGCCAGATATTCACAGACTTCATTATACATAATTTTAACATATCAAATGGTGAAAAATATTACATTTTAAATTGAATGAACTTATTAACAAATGCATAGGTTGGTTTTTAATAAAAGGACAAACATATGCAAGTCATAATCAGACTTTTAAATATAAGAATAAAATATAGGTTGAAATCATAATCCTTGGTTGACAAGTACCTTTATAAAATATAGATAGGCTGTAGGCGAATAGTATGTTGCTTTTATAATATATTTTTACAGGTCGAAGGCACAGTGATAAAACTGTATTTCTTATACAATTCAGAGCTAGACGTGTGCTCTGATTTCAATAAAGGAAAGTGATAAATTTAAGAATAATTGATAAGCGAATTATTAAGGAAATAAATGCCACACTTTGAAGAGAGAAATTTCATTCATCGATATTTGCGAGTAGATTGTGCGGCATATTTTGTCTTGGTGTAGGATGTTCGTTAATAGGCAAGAGTATCGATTACATATCATTCCCTACCAATGTATTGATTTACATTTCATATATTTTCTGTAAGAATATGATGAGTATGGTGTTTTATTCTCAAGCCTTTTAGCTGATTCATCACAACTCTTGTCTTCTTTTATTTCATTATCTCATTAGCAATATAGTACTCATTTGCATATACATTATTTTAAATTTTATCAAAACCCACCATGGCAGTGGAAGATTAGTGGCATTCACAATTCAAGAGATATTTTATTTCAGTTGTGTAGGTAATATACATTACCAATAATTACTTCTCAGGTGCAATATTAATTAACATTAATATTAATCAGAGACTTATGGATTATGCCAATAATGGTAGATGGAGGAAAATTAAATATTCAATACATCATTTTATGATGTAAAGCAGGATGACTTTGGATACTATGATTACTAAGGCTAAAACCTTTCAATCATTAGTAGGAAAAAAATACTGCAAATAATCCAATGAGCTCCTCTCTCAAATTGTCACTGACACAAACTTCAAAAATCATAATTTTTCATTTTTTTTTGTTCTTTGACATTTTGATTATGTACATCAAACTTTACCTTTTCATATAATTTTTAGGAGTGCAACTACACTAATCAGCTAATTACGCTTATTGTCCATAGCGCACAAACCGAGAAAAGTGGATTTTTCATTTTCACAAAGACACCAATTTTCATGTGGTTCTTAAATGACAGTGGCGTTGCAATCGTTGTGATCGCTAGGTAAGGCCTAGCTTGTTAGGGCTAGATGTAAAGATTAGATTTCCCTAGCTTACCTAGGCATAGCGGTACCATTCTTGCAGTATAACTTGGAATAGGTCTATACATATGCACCAAATGTGGAATTATTAGTAAAAACATAATGATTTAAGCAGCATAAGCCAAGTTTGTAGGCCTGTTTTCACCCTTGACTACAATGGTTAAACATAGAGTAGCTAAAATACAGTTTGTGTAAGTTTTTTTCTTACCAACGGGAGTGCGTACAGCGTGTATCGTTTTCACGAAGTGACACGAACATCACTCAACGTGTAAATAACATATGTCATGTTTATTCTAATCGTTTTCACGAACAGACACAAACTACTAACACTAATTAACAGGTTAATTAATGTTAAGAAAAAAAAATTGAACATTTTAATTGTTTAATGCTTTATCTTTAAACATATGCAAACAAATTTCAAAATGTCATTGTCTTGATAGTGAAATTTACAGATTTGTGAAGTAGTCCACTTCAAACATGTTTTTCTCAAAATTTTGTTTTCGTTGAAATTGAAGTTTGTGCCACTTTGTGAAAACGGTGACGAAATGAACACTGCTCTGAAAAAAAAAAAAAAAAACGCCAGAACAAACACGTTTTTTGTTTCTCTCAGCACCGCTCTCAAATAAAGGCTGTGTTGTTTACTTCATGTAAAGGTTGCAGCACTTAATAAGCCCTACATGCCCAACAGCAGGATTTGGTGTTTGATATCTGGATACTGCTCTTGCATATTTCTTATTTTTACCTTAAGTTAATCCAGTTGTCAATTTTTTGTAATTTTGTTCATTTTTACTTACCGGCTTTCCTCTTGGCAAGAGACATCATCAAAAGTGAAGCAATGACAGCTAGGACAGTCCGATGACAATTTGGTTTATAGCTCCTGGGTCAATCCAATCTAAGGGGGGTGGGGGGGAGAACCGTATCCTTCAAAATATCATTGTACATGTAGGGGTGTTTGTACCCTTCATTTCTGTTCATACAAACATCTGCCTGATTGATCTTATTTTTATATCTTGCCAGTGCGATTCTTTTGCAATTATCTTCACATTCCAATAAGGGAGATGATTCATAATAGAAATCCTGTGGTCAGTAATTGCAGAGCTGTGGGTGATTTGGGATGCAAACTTCCTATTTGTTCTGGTGACGGTACCAGTGAATCTCAGCATCGCGACATGACGGTATGTAAAATAAAAAATAAAATTACTTACACAATATTGACAACTCAATTAACCAAAAGGAAAAATTCAGAAATATTCTATTGAATCCAGAATCAATTTATTACCTCTTACTGCAGTAAAGCCTTCATTTACAGTAATTATGATCAAATGAATGCAAATTTTGTTACCATCTATGATAGTAAAATGTGTTGAGAGTCTATAAAAGATCGCAAATTTCATTGCAGTTTATTTATGGTAGCCCAGGTGCACATACTGTATTTATAACAGACTGCCTACTCACCCGATCCTGTTGGGTGTCACCCGATATTTCAACAAATCTCCAGTTCTCCTGATCATATGTAATTTTCACTCGATTTCACAGGCCACCCCCTCCCCAAAAATACTCCGATTTATAGATAATTTGATTGATTTGATCGTTATTATTCAATGTATTTCGCTGCCTGCTCGCTTCGCGGTGCAATAAACAAGCAGCCATTTTCAATTCAAATGTCCCACCAACGGCCAATGATTTGTAGGGACGTGACTTTTTTGGTATCTTGCCTCATCTTTTGGTTAATTTGGAAACCTCTAGATTTTTTGGTAAATCTCCAGATTTTGTTAAGATTCTTAAAAAAATCTCCAGATTTTCATGACCCAGTGGGTTGGCAGGTCTGTTGCACACTATATTTTCACAGCTAACTAAAAGAGACTACATGTTTGTAAAGTAGGCCTACTGATATTCAAGTGCGTTGACTGGAACGGCCACATTAAAATTACTTGATGCACTGAAACACTCAACAGGGCTAAGTTGACAGTACCCTTTCCAGTGGCAGAAAGCAGGGTGCTGGGGTCCCTGGTGCAATATGACCTGAATTGTATCCCTATCAGCCTTCGAGTGTGATGCCACTATTCAAGGTCACTCAGTATTATTACTAGAAGTATGATGATGATTTTAAATTTTTTTATTTTATTAAAAATTTTTTATTTCTTTTGCAGTTTATTGTGTTAAAATGACAATTTAAGTTAAATATACACAAAACTCTTCAATATGCTGGAGATACGCATGAGAACTAATTTATAAGCAAACTTTCTCACAGTCCCCAACCTTCGACTATTGTGTCTGGAGTTGGAGTTACACAAACTTCATTGTTTGATCTCCTCACAAGAAGCCATTGTCCTGCCTCTTACAACATGAAAAAAGCTTTCAGCTTATTAAGGATACAGATATACAGCAGCTTTTCATAAAGCTTATACCAATTAGTTAATCAGTTTCTGTTCTCAACTACCTACATCATGATCTTAATTGTTGAGGTCTAGTTTACCTTATTTCTTTTCTTAATTATAATCACATTTATCTTAAACAATACCTACTTTCATTTAAAACATGACCATGGCATTTAATAATCATAGAGTGTTGAACTAGATATAGAATTAAACAACTGGTTCACCAGCAAAGACCTTCAGATTCTGTTGATTGGTAATGTGCTGTAGTAGTTGATGGTCTGTGAGTGCTTTTCATTAATGTCTTTGGCATTCAATGTCTGTATGTGTTCTCCAGTTTCTCATCTCATTATGAAAATAACTAACATACTATGAAAATGCATTATGTTGGTAATGTCATGTTAGTGATATCATGTGGTATAGCTGACTGAACATTTCTTCCAATTAATTTTCCTTAAGTGAATCAGAATTCAATGAATTTTTTATGTTAGTAATTATGATAAATGATATAACGATAGGTAAGAGCTATATTTCAGGAGGCCTAGTTTTTATGATTAAACATTCAACAATAACATACATTTTTTAAATCAAAACAGAATGTATGTTTGAGTATATTATATAGCACGAATCTCTGCAGCCACTGTGTCCGGGCCTGCTTTCCCGCATAGGATTTGCCACCAATGAGCATGCAATAGATGTTGACAGTCTTCTTCCTAAATCTTCATTTACAAAGTCAAGATAATTATGATTTCATTTCATTTCATTTATTTCGTCCAAAAAACATTAAAATTGACAAACACAAGATAACAGGGAGCGAAAAACAACAATAACAACAATCAGTTGGCCGGACAGGATTGCCAAATTGTGAACTGAATCACTGTCAGTGGCTCTCTGATGCCAATGAGAACATAAATTAAATTTGCATAAAAATGATGTTTTTGATGATGATGATATATAATTTATTTGTTGTGTGTTGATTTCAATTGTTTTTTATTTAATTGTTTAACTTGCAATTATAGCTTTCCACGACCAAAATTACTCTTGTAAAACCAAGCATTTTCATGATTTAGAAAATTATTTTTTATGATTTAAAAAAAAAAGGCATGTTGATCCAATTCATTATACTAAAAACCTTTTGTTTTATTTGGAATGTCAGAAGAGAAATAAAATGTTTTAAAAAACTTCCAAGGTTACTATTATATTATCATATGCCTACCTGCAGAACAGATCGCTTAAAATTTATAGTCAAGTTTTCCAGTTAATTCTTATGTATTGTGTTTCATTAGAAATCAATTAATAATTATGAATCCTCATCAAATTAACAATACTGACCATGAGTTCAAACACCTGAGTAATATTCTTAATAGTGCTTTGTGATTTTCTGTTGATTTGGAATGTAACATTGTAACCTTCTAAACATAATATAATATAATATAATGTAATATTTTTAAATATAATTAAATATAAATATAATGCATTTAATATTTTATATTGTTAATTTCTTGGGACAACTCTTGGGATCAATAATGACGACATTCACATGTAGGTATCTTTTAATCAGTTTTAATTATGTCCTCATGTGCCTAGCACGTAGGGATAACCTAGCTCAAGTTCATAGAGTTGCTGTGTCTCTTTTTCTCTTTCTCTCTCCCTTTTTCCTCCCTTTTTACTGCCATCCTTTTTGCATAATTAGCTGTGCGGCCTTACTGGTCCGCGCAAAAGAAGTCTGAGGGTGGATGTTATAATAATAATATAAAAATATTGCATTATAATCTTCATGGCCCTTCCTACTAATCTGCCCTAAGATTTACTGGTTCTCAAGGAAGTGCACTATGAAAAGGATTCCTACAGACTTTAAGCAGCGTTTATATTGTGTCCTTGTAGCTATTCAAATGCTTTTAAGAATGTATTCTTCACGCCGTCCATAAATCTTGATAAAGAAATAGGAATGCTTATTTATAACGTTAACTGATTTATGAGAATTCTAATTTTGTTTCTGTGTTTAAAAGTCACCACAAGCATCCATTTATTCTTATCCACACAGATTTTTAATTCCAGAGCTGAAGCATGGCTGGAATTTCCTCCAGGAATTTTATGAATTATGGCAGATTTGTACCAGCCATTATGAGTTGTATTTGCATTAATTTACAATATGATCAAGTATAATAATATGGATGCAACAATTGCTCATGCTTCATTACTGATTTTATAAAATTTTGAATTTTTTTTTTAATTGTGTATTTTAGTAAAATTACTACTACCTAGTACCATCATAAATAATTTTCCTCATCTCATTACATAGTAAAATGCATAATTTCTAAAGAAGTTATGATCATTGTGGTAGATGAGATCTACTGTCAAACACTGCTTGTAAAATGCCCCCCCCCTTTCAAAAAAGTGGGGGGGGGGGCATGCTGGGCCCCCTAAATCTGCCCCTGCTATTATTATAATTAATAATAATAATAATATTTATTTGGCAAAAGTATATAGAATTAAAATAACATGTATTGCCTGGATAGGGAATGGGCGAAAGCGCCAACAAGATATGTTCCCTATCCTTCATATTATGAAATACACTATTACAAAAAAAAATCAGAAAAATCAGAAACATAAAAAGATATAAAATGCTTAACTAAATTATTCTTCAAGGAGGAAACATTAACAGAGTTTTGAAGTAGAAGAGGTACAGTATTTATTCCCAGAGTCTGGGAAAGGACACAAAAGCAGAGTTAAGAAAAATATAGCTTTTGGCTTTCCAGTCAATAAGCCTGCCCTCACAACAAACTCTGTTAATTTGGGGGGTGGGGACACAAATTATAAAGAACTTTGAAACCAAGAATAAGCCGGTGATCTTTAAAAATATCTTCTATGCTTAAGATGTTAAGCGTTTTCAGCCTATCTTGATAATGTGTGTCCCAATGGCACCATTTTAAACATAATTATTCTAGCAGCTCTACGCTGGGTTAACTAATTTTAATAGTAGATATTGAACAAACTAAACTTGGATTTCACCTTGGTACAGGTCCACTACCAAAACTACAGTACAGTACCAAGTACTGTCCAATGCCATATGTCAGGCAACCTCATAGAAGACAATGTAGAACATTGATATAGAAGATCAAGAGCTTAGTGTTGGAATTGTTAACATGTTCTCCTTCACTAGTACAACAGATGTTGGCAATGACACATTTGATGATGATTAATTCTGGTGAAAATAAATGAAAGAATTTCCCCACTACTACCACAACAATGTGTCCAATACTAATACTACATGTTACGTATAGAGTACTACGTAATTATTAAGATGTTGTATCTTACTTTTTCTTTGTAAATTTTAATTGAAATATGTGTTCGATAACTAATATAATGCGAGCTTTTGTGTTTTTAGTACATTTTGATGGTAAAATATTAGATTTTAAAATGGTTATTCCAAAAAGCCTATGAAGTCATTCAGGCGTATTGAACGGTAACCAACGTCTGTTGACAGCAGAGTGCGCCACCCGGCGTCATGACGACACGACTGTGGCACCCTATACAGTTAATCCATGGTTAGTTATTATAGCACCTCCCTGGTTAGTATGCAGTAGACTACATAATACAGTTTACACCATATCATGCCTACTGTATACTAGGAAATCGAAATAGAAAGGCCCAGGGAGGGAGTTTTATAGACAGAGGGTCTACACCAGCACAGCCCCAACATGGTGGAGGTACAAAATGTAATGGATATAGCACTCTAGATGGTCAGAAATTTCCCTCTTAAACTTAAATCTTAATATTTGTTTTCCATTTTTTGTTTCTAATTTACAAACTTTTAGGGGTGTGGGACTTGGATCTCGCTAGGATCATTTAGCTACATCTTATGTGGTATCAGTAATTGATTATTATCACCATAGCTATCCTTGTGGTTGTTATCATCATCGTCCTCATCGTATCCACCAACATTCACAGATATTCATCATATCGAAATCACCTTCATCATTGTTATAATGCATATTACAGCTAGATATTTATCATACCTTTTCTAAAACTGTTAACCATTGTTCACTATTTAAAGATGTGATCAAAAATTCCTTTTAAAAAAATGTCTATTTAGCATCTCTGGCAACTTTTTATATGGAATAAAGGTTTGCAAATAGCAAAAATACTGAGCATTTTCATAATGAAAAATTTTAAACATTCTGTCATTCTAGAAAATGTGATGTACCGGAAATTAAACATGAAGAAAATTGCCAGTTGTAGAAAAAACGAATCATAAATGACTTGTAACGAGCACTGCATGCTTATAGTCAAGTACAAATGAACTATGAACTATTGGATATGAGCCAAGTGCAGAGAGCTAACATGAGGAGCTTGAAATACTACGTAGCCGGAGGTAACATTACTACTACCGCCGCTCATAACATCAACATTTCCATAGCAATGCCAGGAAGACTAATATGAGGAAGAGATTACTAAAGATTCTCATGATTTGCTCAAGGAAATTACGTGTGGCATAGTAATCTTGGTTGCTATGATACGGTTTCTAGGATACCCCATTATCAAGATCTGTCAAATAACGTTGAACTTGACCTTACACATATTTGATTTTCTTTCCCTCCCTCAGGTAATATTATCAAACTTTTATAGTTAATCGCTATGTTTTAATGACATATGGAATGTAGTATATTAGACTTGTCCAAAAAAATTAGTAGTATTAATCTTGGAATTTGAAAGATATCAATCACATGTTAATCATTTGAATACAAATAAATTTTAATAGATATTTTATGATCTAACAACACCAAACCCTTCCCATCTGATTTATAAACGAATAAATTATTTATTTTCTTTTCATATTTACTACAAATAAGTTCTATATTATTTGGATATTTACAGTCACATTTACATAGTCTTTCACCGACTGTTGGAATGTTAAATGCTAAATAGCAAGGTAAATCCAAATTATTTTATTTTAGTAATAGTCATCACAACTTGCAAATATAACTTTGGTCCATTAATTGTCACAGAAAACATATGTGCTAATTAATATAATTATTTTTAACTCTGTTTCTGAGGCAGCAATGAAAAAATATGGATGATCTGAAGAGCAGATGTTGTAAGGTTGATTCCTTCTGAATAATATAGCCACAGTCGTGTTGATTGTAGATAGGCTGAATAATCTTATTACTGTACTATGAATTAAGTGCGGCGTAAACTCTTTGATGTAACATGCCTTCGGGTGTATCAGTAGTCAGACCAAAATATGTACCATGTACTTTGATGACAATTATATATTTCTAATTATTTTTGATGGTTTCAAAGACTTTGTTCTTTCAATGCCAAAGGTACAATAGTGCAAAAACAGTGCAAGATAAAGCTTAGTAAGCTAATGCCACTGTTTTTAATGGTACAGTATAGTGTATGTAGAAGAAATATGCATAAAAAAAGAATATATAGGCATATGCATAAAATATATATATATATATTTGATTTATGTAATAAATATCATCATTGTTATTTTTTATTATTATTTCCATCATCATTAGCATCATTATCATAATCATCAATGTCATAAGCATCATTATCACCATCATCATCACCTTCGTCCATTGTCATCATTAACAAATCAGCCAATGACAGACCAAGACAGAAAATTATATATAAGCCTCTCCAAGGTATTATCTCAGCACCTTGATCTCACAGCTCTCATCCACCTCCGTAAGGTGTTACCATCCATATCTTGCTCTAACAGCTCGTCGTCACTTCACAAAGGTGTTACCATTTGCCTCCAAATTTTGCTACTCTCATTCACACCATCCGTGTAAATCTGACAACTACATCCTCAATCTTTTGTTTTCTTGCTATGAAGTGTCAAACTATACAACATACAACAAACATGCCTAGATGTGTCAAAATGAGCTTGCAAATATGAATCTATCCACAACAGTCCAATAGCTATTCATATAGTGAAGCACTCTTGCATAAATAATGGATCTACTGAAGCATACAGTGCTTGTTTTTATAGCTCTTGCATCCATTCACAATAATGTTACCGTACACATCATGTCAACAATGAGATATTTTCCCTGCGCAGCAATGATTCTGCAATGAATCATGGGTAATCTTCCTTGAATGAATCTTTTCACTCACTAAGACATGTTTCATCTTCATTTATGAAACATGTTATGCTTGACTGGAGATGATATTGATCAGATTTGTATGTTGTTCTTTATTGAACAGACTATAGTCAATGGAGCAGAAATGTATACAGTATTATAAAAGCAAGAAAAAAATCTAAGGTATTTTTATTTAAAACAGTTTCTAATGTATAGACCTATATGAAAAAATAATGTCTATTATTGTTTTAGTTGGTATGATAATAATAAATCCAAAATAATATTAATGAAAATGATGATGAATAATAATGATTAAAAAGATGATATGCAGCACGACTAGACTGGATGTAATAAGTCACTCTGGCCCAGAGAGGTTTCATGCCGGTTTACCAATTCATGGGAACCATCCTCCAGGTTCATGGGAACCCTCCTCCAGGTTCATGGGACTGGGGGAGGGGATCCTAAGTTTACACCCTGTCACTGCAGGGGGACCTAACTCCACTCCCTATGACTGACATGACTGGGGAAACAAAATCCTGTAAATGAAATGAATTTAAATGTAGTACTCTTAATTATAATGATAAAAATGATGATAGTCTGAATGAAAATGATAAATGTAATATTAAAAGAATCATGATAGTAATTTGTTTTGAACGTTTATTCTGTCCCAATAGGAAATAAGACCCTTGAAATTTTCCATGGGTAATATCCTGGATTTGTCTTTATTGTTCCTTTCAATATTTTTTTAAGGTTGTCAAGCTTTTATCTATGTGATTAGAATAATTTCTTATCATGTACTGTTTTATCTTTTTACCAATTTTAAAATTATTTTCATTTTTGTAAAATCTATATTCTGAATAAATCCTAGTATCTTATAAATAATGAATCTTTTAAATGATTGAAATATAAATGGTGAAATTAATATAATTATGAAATACATCATGCTACATAATAAAATAGATATAAATATACTGCAACAATAATAACAATAAACAATAAGAATAACAATACTGTAATTATATCCTTTACTTAATAATTAAGCTTTTCAAACTGCTTGTGAATAAATTTATTAAGTGGATATCAAATATAAGATTGTAATATTCTAATGATTCACAGACATCATGATAAGACTGCAACATCTAGTTAGAAAGTGTTTGTCAAATCTGTGGCCAGACTGAGGAATGTCCGTCAAAGTTGCAGCCAGACAGATAATAGACTGTTGTTATGTTCGGTTGTTCTTGAGGTTTGCTGTAACCAAGGAAGTGGTATTCACCTAAAAAACCCTGATTTTGTTTTCTGAGAAAATCTTATTTAATAACTTGAAACAAAGATGTTAGCCATTAGGAAGGGGAAAGTCTCCTATTTATACAAAAAGAAAGAATGTATATTATTTATTTTTCATTTATTTTGTTGCCCTTTTTGTCGTCTGCAGTAGTTTCTGGTGTACTGTACTTTAATGAAGAAAGAATGCAAACCTGTTTGCAATAATTACTTATTCTATTTCCTGACCAATATATGTTTTATTAGGCCTATTTATTATTATGATTATTATTATTATTATTATTATTATTATTATTATTATTATTATTATTATTATTATTATTATCAGCAGATAAAACATGCATAGTCAAGTCACACAGCACATATTTTACAAAAATATAACACATGGATCAATATACAATAAATAAATAAGTTTTTATTTTTACATGCACTTGATAATAAATAATTCAATAATAAGATATAATACCACTATTAAAATTGTTATTACTAATATTGAAACTACTGAGGATGATAATAAAGATGAGGATTAATGATGATGATGATGATGATGATGAGGATAATGATGATGATGATGATAATGATGGTGATAAAAATATCATGAAAGTAATATTAGGCCTAATAATGGTAACATGTTTAATAATAAAGTAATAAGAACAATAACAATTATGACTTTTACAACAATAATAATAATAACAATAACAATAAAAATCCCTATCGTAGTATCTAAAAATATAATGTACAAATTTCTTGATCAAAAATAATTAGCGACAGTAATTTGGACATAAATATGACAATACAAGAAGAAAGTGAACTAATTTTATAAACAGCTGTAAATTATTGTAAGATTGAAATGATCACTATCCAGGGAGCCATCTATGGCTCTTGTTGCACTGTGGCAACACGCGAATGCAATTCACTTTTAAATGAGCATGTCACTGATGAGACAAACTTGCTACACAAAGAACAAAGTTGAGAAACATATAACAATATTGCTATTAATTCTGAAAAAAATTATAACAAAGGAACAGATGATAAGCAAGTATGACAAAGACTTGTTTTGTTTATCATGTTTTTTTTTGTTATTTTAATTTATATTTTATTCTCTACTTTACATATCATAAAAGTTAAAGCTTTCAAATAATGAAAATGAAAAATTTATAAAAAATACACTTTTAATATTTTAATATTTAATTGACATTAGAGTAGAGTTTGTATACCGTAAAAAAACCTTGAATAGAAGCCCTGGCCTTTATTTGAATAAATTATAGTAGGCCAAGAATAGACTTAACTGAACTTTAGCTACACCTTATCTTGATACTCCCATAGTAACAAAAATAAGGGTTTTTTTTCATATTATCAAACAACCAAACATTTTTACCATACCAGTAATTTTTTTTAATCAAATAGAAAACCAAAGAAAACAAAGTAGCCTGATGATTACCAAAACAAAAAATAAATAACGAAAGATAGTTGAAAGTCATTAAAAGTACAATGAATTGAAGATATCTTTGGTATCAACAATTGATTGTAGAATGGCTAAATAGTATGGTATTGCTAAATTATTATTATTATTATTATTATTATTATTATCTTTTCTACTTTAATTACAATAAAGGGTCATCGTCTGCTTTCCATGCTTAATTTTTAAATAATGATGTGCATTTATGATGTTTTTTTTATCCTGTTTTTGTTTTTTTGTACCTTCTTAATCATGTTTTGTCCTTTCTTTGTAATTAATTCATGCAAAGCAATAAATATTACTTACTTACCGTACCTAGTACCAATGATAAATTACCACGAGACCTTATCCACTCAAATTAATTACAATATATCCAACAATATATTAATATTTCTCCATAAAATATTAATTTTTATACATAGGCTTATAGTTCTTTCATTAATAAAAAATAAGCAAAACATACATTCAGTAATTCCTAAATGTCTTTTCTTTCAAGCAATTCCAATTAAAATTGACTGACTCATCAACAATCGAAAGTATATAAATAAATAATTCACAGTGAATTCTAATTAAAATTAATTGATTTTTCTGACTTCATGACCAACATGAGCATACAACCATAAAAGCTCAATTTGAAATGTAAATACAAATGAAAATGAAAATATATGAAGCATACAATTTACTTAATACATTTTTCATGAATGCTCTCTAAAGTTATGTCTTCTGTAAAAGCTGATATAAATCAAGTGATATTTATCATCTATGTTATGACAAAAAAAATTACCCAAATCTTAATCTGAATTTAATAATAGTTTTTTTCATATCTTTTTTACACCACTCCTCCCCTCCCTCCCCAATTGTTTAATAGATTATTTATTTATTTATTTATATAGTTATTTTTCATTTAATAACATTCATATGCATGATTCCATGATTAAAATTATTATGAGGTAAGGTAGAGGAACTGAATGTTTTCTTTGACTCTTACATGTTCTAGATATCCCGCCCTCAGAATACTACAGTTATGAAATGTAGATGCTTATAAATCCACTTCTCCATGTATATACCATCATGCATCACCATCACTGAGAAATGTCAAATAAACAATTCTATAAATGGAGTTGACAGATACATATAAATAAAAATATACATTATCTCATCACATGATCTTGATGGCTTCATTATTGAAGCCATGTTATGTTATTTACACTGTGCTGGAATACACTTTCTCTGAATCTTCCAAGATATGTTTTATAGACACTTATCTACTTAGTCTGCCTGTTAAACAACTACCCTAATGGAACCCTAATCCAACGCATAGGAAGCACATCTCATAATAAAATCATCAGTGACAAGTAACGGCCATTCAGAGTATGATGCAGCCTATAGTATTCTGGTTAAAAATAAAATTACCAGCATTATTATTTTATTTTATTTAGATTAAAATAATGAATTTACATTAAGCCAATGTTCCACTACGCTTTCTGTATGAGTATATATTATTATTATCATGCTGATACAAAATCATGCATGCTAAAATTAAAAGAAAACAAACTAAAATTCTTTTGCTTATAAATAAAGCCTAAGTAGACAATATTGCCAATATAAACCTGCATTGTAAGGGTTATAAAAAAAGGATATAAGTTGATTTTAGAGTATCTTTTATGTATGTACTCTAAATTTGGAATAATTTTACCTATTTCTATTTGTAATTTTGACATTAAAGCAATTAGAAATGTACACATTAATCAATTAATCCAGCATTAAGAACAGATGCATAACTGTTTAAAACCTATCAAGATGAAGTTTTCAAATTAAAAGTTCCAAAACAATAAAAATTGAACTGAATGGATATTAAATAACAGTTGAATTTACAATTCAGAATGCACAACAGTCTTGTAATATACACTACAGAAATGAAAGATGATTACAATTAGGTTGGGGTTGTCCAGAATAGTAATGTAGATGTGTTCATCAGGTTCAATTACTTTAGTTTCCTAATCATTGTTCTTCACAAACACAATAATGGGTAATTTATTTGCTCAGCAGCCTTTGGGAAGTTTTTAGATAAGTGAAGATCAAATACAAACGAACCAAATATCTGAAAGTTCAGTTCATATATTACCACATCTTTTACATCTTGGTCTCTAGAGGTTCTATTTATTTCTGATAAAATCTGTAAAATTTCACAGTTTGTGGAATGATTCAACAATTTTGCACTTACACTGCATTTAAAGTACTTAACCTTTTCGGGTTATTTGAGTTTGGTTAAAATAATATATATTTACAAATTACCATCAGAAATTTTTTCCAAAAAAAATGTTTTATGGTTCCAAACTCCAACCCTAAAAAATCTATACATTAAAATAATGTTAATACCAAAGTTGGCAAGTATATTTCAATGCTTATTTACTTAGACAGTGGGCCCTTATACACCCCTTCCTCCATATTGGCCTAGACAGTGGGTCGTAAGCACCTCCTCCATGCATATTGGCCTAGAATGGGCCCTATGTACCCTTTCTCCATATTGGCCTAGACAGTGGGCCCTTATGCATCCCTTCCTCCACATTGACCTGACAGTGGGCCCTTATGCACCCCTTCCTCCATATTGGCCTAGACAGTGGGCCCTTAAGCATCTCCTCTATGCATATTGGCCT